TGGGTTAACCCCAATAAGTGGATATATATATATTTTTTTTTGGCTCCCACAATAGTGACCACTTTTAATAATATATATATATATATATATGATGGCGAGAGATAGGCCAAAATTATCATACAAGGATTGTGTTCACTACAAATACAAAAGTGCACGTATTACGAGGTAGGAACATGTGTCTTTCAAAGTCCCTAACCCATTTTATTTCTACAATTCCATTACGTGACTCGAATTTTTCGTGGTTCGAATGACTTGAAATCCAAAAATGACATTGTTTTGGCTTCTTTTTTTCTTTTTTTTTTTCTTTTCTTCCTTGTTTCTGACTCACAAAAGAGAAGAAGAAAGAAGAAGAAGAAGAAGAAATAAGAAGACAGTATCATTATCATCAACACACCATCAACACAGCATCATCATCATCAGCACAGCATCATCATCATCAATAACCGACAAATCATCATCAACACAACAACATCATCATCAACATCAACACATCATCATCAACAAATCAAACCCCCACACACACACAGAGATCTAGAAAATCAAAAGCCACCCATAAATCAAACCCCCTTCCCCCCCTCCACACACATATACAGATCTAGAAGCCAAATCGATGAAACACACACACACACACACGGTGGCGACGGAGTGGAAAAGGAAGATCAGCTTCCTTTCTCCCTTTTCTCTCTCTGTCTCTCTTTCTCCCTCCCTCACTCTATTTCGTTTCACAGATAAAAGAGGGGGAGAAATTCAAAACGACGTCGTTTTGAATTCGGGCCATTCGAGCCTGAGGAGTTTCGAGCTCTCAAGCATTTTTGTTATTTCCATCGAGTGTTTTGGGAAACAGTCTAGCTTGTCTCCACTTAAAAATCAAGATTAAATTGTCCAGTCCGATCCGTGGACTCATTTTTAGGTCTCTTTTTGATAATCTAAACCGTTCAATATGTAAAACTCGTCAAGTACTATATCCTTGTAAAGAAATCATATTGATCGAATATCGATGGCTATTTGATTAGATCAGTTTTGTATAAAAAAATGAATACGGTAAAAAAATAAACGGTTGACAGAAATCTGATCTGATCAAATAGCTATCGATATCCAATCAATGTGATTTTTTACAAGAATACAGTATTCGACGAGTTCTACACATTTAATGGTTCAGATTGTCAAAACAGGGCCCAAAACGGACCCACGGACTGGACTGGACGGTCCAATCTTTATCTCCAACTAGAGACACGCTGAATGCTTGAGAAAATAGTTGAAAGTTAATTTTTTAATCTTCTTTAAAAAAATATATAAAAAATGTGGAGATTTCACTTTGTTTGGTTTGAATTTTTTAAAAACACTTTTCAGAAAATTGTACCTTCTTATTTTTCGTATTTTTTTGTTTTTACTTATTTTTTTAATATTTTAAACAATTGTTTTAATTTTTAGACACACCTAACATAAATACACTTAAAAAGTATAATTTTTGTGAAAATAATCCTTCAAAAATTCACTAAATATCAAAAATATTTTTATGTATTTATTAATTTTTTAAAATATTTTTTCATAAATATTTTACTTTTTAAACACATTTAAGTAAAATGCATCTAAAAAAGTTTTAAAAAAATGCTTAAAATTTTAAAAATTTTACTAAAAACAAAAATACGAAAAATAAAAAACTCAATTTTTAAAAAACTTAATTTAAAAAAGTCAAACCAAACACACTATTGTAATTCAAAATAAGTTAAAAACTAGAAAATAATTTTTAACCCACTTCTCAAAAGAGATATATGTTTTTCTAATCAACACACCACTAAAATTAAAACACTATTCTCTTTCTCTCTCTTACACATGTATAGGATATATATATATACCTTAAAAAATTCACTAAATATCAAAAATATTTTTATGTATTTATTAATTTTTTAAAATATTTTTTCATAAATATTTTACTTTTTAGACACATTTAAGTAAAATGCATCTAAAAAAGTTTTAAAAAAACGCTTAAAATTTTACTAAAAACAAAAATACGAAAAATAAAAAACTTAATTTTTAAAAAACTTAATTTAAAAAAGTCAAACCAAACACACTATTGTAATTCAAAATAAGTTAAAAACTAGAAAATAATTTTTAACCCACTTCTCAAAAGAGATATATGTTTTTCTAATCAACACACCACTAAAATTAAAACACTATTCTCTTTCTCTCTCTTACACATGTATAGGATATATATATATACTAGTGGGTGGCACACACGATGTGTGTGCAATTTAAATAAATAGGAATAAAAGAAAATAATAATGAAGTTAATATTATAATGTGTACCTAGCGTAAGTGGTATGAGTCCTCGTACTTAAACCCATGGTCATGGATTCAAGCCTTGCCCATCTCTTCTTTTAACTTTTTTTAAAAGAATAAAAAACACTGCCACATGGCATGAGGAGAGTAAAGTTTCAGGACACCATAAGAGGTGTTCACTTTATAATAGTATAGATAGATAGATATACTATCATATATCAAAGCATATGACTTAGGTCATGTTTGTTTGGGTGGACATGAGCTTGGGATTGGACTAATAGTCCAATAAAATTATTAACCCGATGTTTGGTTAAACAATTGAAGTACGGACTAATTATTTTAAACTTGACTTTTAGTTTAGATAGGATACATAATCCAACGGATTTGTAATCCTAGGATTATTAGTCATGGGAATGCTAATCCAGTCCGCCCAAACAAACATGGCCTTAGTGTCTAATAGTATGGTGGTTTCTCCTTTTATCATGTGACAAATTTTTCTATCCTAAAATTAAAAAATATTTTTAAAAAATGTGAGTAAAATTTGAATTCAAAACTTTCAATTTCATTAATAACACTCTTATTATTTAGACAATACATATTTTGATATTAATTTTTTATTATTTATTTATACGTTTATTTATCTAAATTATACACACATTACATAATGACACACAGCAGTATATTTATATATATATATATATATGATGACGAGAGAGAGGCCAAAATTATCGTACGAGGATTGTGTTGACTACATATGCAAAAATGCACGTGTTACGTGGTAGGAACATCTGTCTTTCACAGTCCCCAATTCAGTTTGTTTCTATGTTTTTCTAATCAACCCACCACTACTATTCTCTCTCTTCCTCTCACTCACATGTATAGGACTTTCTCAGCCACCAGTCAAGGCCCAAAAAAGGAAAAAACGAAACCACCAAATACGATAAATTTAAGAATTAATTTGTTTTAATAATAAGGACATGCTTAAAAGTGTCGGCATCAGAAAGTCATTATATATTGATTTGAAAAGTTGTTAATCGTGGTAGTTGGTGGTTGTAAAGGGAATATTTATACAATTATATATAAATAGATGATATTAGATAAATAAATAAACATAGGTAGAATTTGGATAAATAAATATCTTTCTTACTTGCTTCCCACGATTAAAAGATGGCATGTTGACCTAAAATTTTAAAATTGAACTTGTAACCCGCGTGTTATAATAACAATAAGCTCATGATCATCACTTTTATCATGTTTTTGCTTATTATTTTATATTAATAATAAATATAAATTATGAGACTTATTAAATTAATACAATATTAATGTATGTGATTATAAGTAAAATATGATAAAAAAAAATGCAATTATAATAATATTAACGTTGAATATATGTGTAAAAGTATATTGAAATATATAAATATGTAAAATTATATGAATAAAAATATGCATAATGTGTATTTTTTTTTTTAAAGTGAGTTTTCACTTAAATGACACATATAACATATTTATTGGGGTAAAAGTATAATTTTTAAGTGATTTTCAATTTATCACTTACTTTAACGGCATCTATTAACAACATTAGATTGAAAAGTTAAATTGAAACACTTTTACAATTAGGGATTAATTAAGCTTGCTTCCCACGATTAAAAGATGCACTTTTATCATGTTTTTGCTTATTATTTTATATTAATAATAAATATAAATTATGAGACTTATTAAATTAATACAATATTAATGTATGTGATTATAAGTAAAATATGATAAAAAAAAATACAATTATAATAATGTTAACGTTGAATATATGTTTAAAAAGTATATTGAAATATATAAATATATAAAATTATATGAATAAAAATATGCATAATGTGTATTTTTTTTTTAAAGTGAGTTTTCACTTAAATGACACATATAACATATTTATTGGGGTAAAAGTATAATTTTTAAGTGATTTTCAATTTATCACTTACTTTAACGGCATCTATTAACAACATTAGATTGAAAAGTTAAATTGAAACACTTTTACAATTAGGGATTAATTAAGTGACGCAATTTAAACATTAAGCAAAAATTGAAACACTTTATATACATTATGAACCAAATTAACATAATTTATTTAAATATTGAGAACTAAAATGAGACAAAAGTCATACTTTAGGAACCAAAAATGTGATTACCTCTAATTTTTTTTAAACACTATTTAGTTATTAACGAATGCCCTAAGATTTGAGAAAAATATATTTAGTCCCACAAGTTTGACATAATTATATTGACTTCTTTTTTAAAGCTAAAACGATCAAAACTAATGCAAATGGTGGATCGCCGTTAAAATAAACGAAAATAAACATACATTTTAGTTAAAAAAATATATAGCAATCATTTTTTGATCTGTACAACACATGAATTATTAATAAAAAGTAACTTAAATTTTATGTGAATTAATTAAGACATCAGTTAAAACTGATGTATTTATATTAAAAATATAAAACTAACGGTATTTTTTACAAATTTTAATAAAATTTTGTTGTCAAATACAAACACAATCAACACAATACCCACCCAAAAACAAAAAAAAACATCAACATTACAAGAATGTTGGAATCCCTTCTTTTGAAGGTTAGGAGGAAATGTATTTATTAGTTTTTTAATCACCATACTTGGTACTTTTTTTTTTCAGCATCCCCACAATTTGGGCCTTGGCATCCCTATATAAATACATATTTCAACACTGGTTCTGAATTGTCAAAAAAAAAAAAAAAACCTACACACACAAATTTTAAAGAAGTGTAAACAAACAATAGTTAGGAAAGATGACCGTGTCAAGCCCTTGTGTTGGAGAAGGACAGGGCAGAGTGCTGATCATCGGAGCCAGTGGTTTCATTGGCGAGTTCATTGCTCAAGCCAGCCTTGATTCCGGTCGAACCACCTTTCTTCTCGTCCGCTCACTTGACAAAGGGGCTATCCCTTCCAAGTCCAAAACCATCAATTCTCTCCATGACAAAGGGGCTATCCTAATACATGTACTCTCTCTCTCTATCTCTCTCTCAATCAATCAACCAATCAGTCCGAGATTCTCTATCTTCAAATGTCTCTATTATGAAAGAGGGGTTGTTGCTTGCTACGTTGTCCCTGATGTGCTTATCTTGAGTTTATTTGATTTAAGGAGATCATTCATTAGAAAAATTAAGTTAATTAAACATTTGAAACTACATAACAAGATCACTATCTTTTTTTATTTTTGAAAACAATCAGAATATGATCATGTGGTTATAAATTTTTCATCAGTTTAATTTTTTTTTTTATGAATGATCTATTCAGTGAATCTTACAATACAAATGATTCAAATCATTAAAATAAAATGAAAACAAATCCACACAAAACCTCATAATAACGGCAATCACATGCCTTTTTATTTTTCTATCTCCATTAAGAATGATTATTTATTATTCTCGAAGTATGGACACGTAATGCTCCATAAGATTTTGATTAGTAGAAAAGAGTAACGACCCACGATTTATGTGGAGATGGAGAACAATATGAGACAAAATAATTAGTGATTGATTTAGAATATGACCGGATAGTATTCCAAAATTATTGAATAATTTCCCCTCAATACACTATCATACGTGGTTTTCGTATTTAAATTATTTTTCTGTCTCGATGCACTAACACCTGACTGTCTCTAATTGGGTTGTGATTTAATAGCAGGGTGTTATTGAAGATCAAGAATTCGTGGAGGGGATACTGAAGGATCATAAGATAGATATAGTAATATCAGCTGTGGGTGGTGCTAATATATTGAACCAGCTCACCATTGTCAAAGCCATCAAAGCTGTCGGAACTATCAAGGTGAAATTTTTTTGAAATATTTATTATTATAAATAATAATAATAATAATAATAATAGAAAAAAAACAAAAACACCTCTATCAAGGGCTCCTCCATGCAAGTGCTATAATTAATCAATGGGGAAATTACACTGACATCCCATAAGATTTATGTTTATTATAGTTTTCTTCCTTACATTTGGAAAATTACACTGATCCTCTTGTTAATTTAATTTTATGTATGATGATCATTACAGTGAAGAGGAAACTGTAATAAAACTTTAAACCTCAGGAAACAATCTGTAATGAAACTTTAAATCTCAGGAAAAAAGATGTAATTTTCAAAAGGTGAAGGAAGAATTGTAACAAATATAAATCTCAGGAAGTGTCAATGTAATTTACCCTTAATCAATTTATCATCACTGAAGTCCATTTTATTAACAGTAGTATCAGAAATACTAACAATATATCAATAAATATATGAATCAAGACACAAGACTTACACCTAATTCTAGGAAAAATTACATTTCAGTGAAATTTGGGAAAAATAATTGCATATTAGTGGAAAATTTTGCAACATTAAAAAATAAATTTATAAATTTTCCATCAATTGAGATTATTTTAAGAAATTTCCATTGAAATGCAATTTTTCTTAGCTTCTATCACTTGACGTGTTGTCTACTCAACATAGTATCTAATTATATATATATATATATATATATTTTCTACTTACTAATTTTTAAACTTGACTTCTTCTTATTTTTTTTTTTTTTGAGTAAATTATACTTTACACTCTTGTATTTTACATCAAATTTCACTTTAATCTTTACATATGAAATCATGACATTTAACCTCCTACACTTCTAATCAAATCCCACTTTGGTCTTTTCTTCTGTTACTTCATTTTTAAATCTATAACAAAATCTAGTCATGTGACAAAAATGTGATTACAAAATGAGGGTAAAAGAGAAAAATCATTCATATTTTTCACCAATAAACTTTTTACTACATAATGAGCACATGAGAGTTATATAATACTATATATATATATATGTTCGTATGGTAAAATTTGAGATGAAAAAGCAAGAAAATAAAGCTTTTAAAATATAAAAAATGCGACAAAGAAATCAAAGAGAAAGAAAGATGAATACACAGAAGATTGTATTACCGTAAAAGACATAATTTCGTGATTTCAATTTATGCAAAATCCTAATTCATCTTTTTAATTGTTCACAATTTGCGTTTTGTTTTAACCTACTATAGTCACATTTTAATGTAAATTTTAGCATAAAGTGTATTGGTGGAAAATGTAAATGATTTTTCTTTTTTACTCTCATATCGTAATCACATTCTTATCACATAACTAGATTCTGTTAAACATTTAAATAATTGAGTAACAAAAATAGAACACTGATACTTGTGTAGAGATCAAAGTGATATTTGACCAAAAGTACAAGGGGTTGATTGTCATAATTTCATACGGGAGAGTCAAAGTGGGATTTAAGCAGAAGCGCATTGAGTTGACTGTCATTATTTCATGTGTAGGGATCAAAGTGAGATTTGGTGCAAGTGTAGGGACGCAAAATATAATTTACCCTTATTATTTTATTAATGTGTGTGGGAAAGAAAAATTAATTACACACAATTTACCTTGAAAAATATCCACAATACTCAATTTGATTTGAATTTTTTTGTGGGTCTCACACTTAAATATTTTTGTATATCTTATCTAGAATGCTCGCACGAGTGTGGATTTCCGAGTTCCACCACATATAAATATTTTGATTACTTTTTTGTGATTTAATTTAGTGTACACAGGTTAACAGCACTCTTAAATTTATGTTGCGCAGAGATTTTTGCCATCAGAGTTTGGACATGACGTGGACAGGGCGAATCCGGTGGAACCAGGGTTAGCCATGTACAAAGAGAAGAGGATGGTCCGGAGGTTGATAGAGGAGTCAGGGGTGCCCTACACTTATATATGCTGCAACTCCATTGCTTCTTGGCCCTACTATGATAACACCCACCCTTCTGAGGTCATTCCTCCTTTGGATCGCTTCCAAATTTATGGTGATGGCACTGTCAAAGGTAAGAATACAGCCATATATTTATATTAGAAAAATGATACAGATTGCAAAAAAATATTTTATGAAAATCGTGTTGAAATCGTGGTCAATTGACTAACCGGCCAGTCAAAAAAGATTTAGGTCAAGTTTGGGAAGTTGTGAATAATCTATCTTTTTATCTTTTTTTCATCACATCATCTCTTTATTTTTCTGTACATCTTTTTATGAAAAGATAAAAAGTACATTTATTTAAGTTATTCCAAACAACCTCTTAAATTGACCGGTGGGTCGATAAGCAGCGATTTCTAAATGATTTTGATAAAATCTTTTTGGAGGACTGTAATATTATTATATTTAATATGATACACTTTCAATGCTTTTATGTGGCTGTTTTGCCACTTCGGTACGTACGGAAGAAGAAAGTAGTGACAAAAATGGAGTAAGGATCTTCTAGAGTAATTTTTTCCTAAAATTTTCTAGAGTGTTACATTGTGTGGTTGGGATTTACTGACAAGTCACATCAATTTTTCTGATGTGACTTGCCAGTAAATCTCAACCACACAATGTAGTACTCTATTTTTCTGATGTGACTTGCCAGTAAATCTCAACCACATAATGTAGTACTCTAGGAAACTTTAGGAAAATTTCACTCTAGAGGATCCTTGGCGACAAAAATGGGCAAGAAAGTGGGATCTCAAATAATATTACTAGGATTTGTGAACTTTTACTTTTAGATAACTTTTTTTTTTATCATTCCAATAATTACTTGGAATTTTCAAACCAATAATGTCCATGGTGGGTATACGACAGTTTGAAATTCGATAAATGTCATAGGACAAGGGATTTGAACCTGCTTTAATTTCTAAGATAAGGACATTACTATATGAATGAGAATTCATCTTTATTACATGTGATAACTCAAATTTTTAAAATGTTCCTCTAGTTCCGAGTTAGCAAGTAAAATAATTAATTTGTTAGTTAAAAACTAACTTATAAAAAGTTAATTTAAAAAAATGTTTATTTGGTATATTTTTTTAAAAAAAATTGACTTTTTCTAATAGCTTTTTAGTACAAGTAAATTTGACTAATTTGAATTTTTTATTTTATAAAAACTGAGTTTAGCAAATATGTTAAGATTTTTTTAACAAAATAACCTTTTTTAACTAATAAATTAGCTTTTTTGCCTCCACCAAATGAAACCTTACCCTCTTTCTATGTAGTTGAGTGACATGTATTTGTAATGTCGCATCTCATCTCATATAAACCAAGTATTTATTAGGTTCAAGTTTTTAGGGTGCCTCAAATGAGAGTAAAGAATTTTCAAACAATAACCTACCCCTCGAGATTCAAACTTCAAATCCAAAAACTTCCAAACTTCCCATTTTATTTTTCCCTTTTTTCATCACAATCCAAATTGTTTCATGCAAGAGGATAACAATTTTATGTTGTTTTCCTTTTTCTTTTTCAACATTAATGTTAATTTGTAGGTGTAATTAATGCTTATATAAATAGTTTTTATCTGTTTTCTTACCATTAGACATGAAAATAAAAGGATCAACATTAATAAATATATGTGAAACTTATTACTTAATATATGTGTACTAATAAAAATATTTTATAATAAAATCAAATTATGTATAGTATTTTCTTATTCTCTGAAAATAATTAAGCGAGGACAAGACTTCTTTCCTTTCTAATATAAATCGTGACAGTAATTATGTATAGTATTTTCTTATTCTCTCAAAATAGTTTTTATCTATTCTTTTTCTCAATCAAAAAGGCTAGGAGGTGTGACAATCCAAGACAATTCTCTCTCCAGGCATAAAAATCAGTGTGTTTGGTTTGAGTTTTTTAGATTAAGTTTTTTTTAAATTGAGTTTTTTTGTTTTTAGTGAATATTTTTAAAATTTTAAACATTTTTTTTAGTTTTTTGGATGCACCTTACTTAGATGTGTCTAAAAAGAAAAAAAATTATGAAAAAATATTTTAAAAAATTAATAAATACATAAAAATACAAAAAAAAAATGTACTCAATTCTCATATTTTTTTATATTTTTGGTATTTAGTGAATTTTTAAAAGATTTTTTCCATAAATTTTTTAATTTTTAGATATACCTAACATAAATATACCTAAAAAGTAAAAAAATTGCTTAAAATATTAAAAAAATTCATTAAAAGCAAAAAATACGAAAAATAAGAAAGTACAATTTTTTGAAAACTGTTTTCAGAAAAACGAAACCAAACAAGCTTTTGTTTTACAGAAAAACAATTACCAACCAAGGGTTGTTTCCAAAATTTATTACTATTTCATTATAAAATTTACCATTTATTTATAATTATTTTTCCAAAATAATCCTGAAGTGAAAATTTTCCTATTTTATGTGTCTTTGAAGTAATATGATTATGTCTATTTCACTTATTTAAGATTGAATAATATGAAAATGTATTCATTTCCTATGCATTGACAAGGTCTATGATACTATCGAAGTGAAACACAGGATCTAAAGAAAAGCAAAGACTAGACTATATTAGTAACAAGTAAAGCTTTTGTGTATATGTAAAAAGTCTCCAAATTTTGAGAGAATAAACATAATAAAGTGCAAGTATCACAAGATAATACATAACAAATAGCAAATAGTGACGTGGATTTGGCCCAATAATCTTGTAGTCATATTTTAGAATGCAGTAAACTAATGATGCAATGACAAGCCAAACTCTAATATTTCAATCACATTAATAACCACTCCCTCACACTAGACTAATAAAAATTCATGAATTATTCAAACTCATACTCTGATATTTCATCACATTAACAACCACACCCTCACATTAGGCTCATTATGGACAATTTGCTTTAGCCGAAAGGTTATATACTTTTTGATTCACTTTATTATGTCAGAAAAGTTAAAGGGCCCTGAATGTATGCTTATAATTTTGTTCGTAGTTTTGCCAAGAATATGCGTCGGTGACATTCAGTTAGGCCCTGTTTGATTCCTTATACTATTAGTGATGGGATAAATAATTTCATAGGATAATTATGTATAAGATTATTAATATCTACTCTCATTTGCTATTAAATATATTATAATTTTGTAAGATTAAGAGTCCTACATATAATTAAGCCGATGTCATTTATGTGATCCAAAGGTAAAAATATAAATTTAATAGGATTAACAATCCAATCCTATGTCTTTATCTTGGAATCAATTGTGAAATTCATGGATATAATAAAGTTTTTGGTTAAATTTTTGTATTATTATATATATTTTTTATCAACAAAATAAAAATTTTATCAAAAATATGAAATTAAAGGGACATTATTGTTATTATATGTAGGATAAATTACACTAACCTCCCCTCTAACCCAACAGTTTTCATATAATTAGGGGAAATTCTACTATATACATCCCTTGAAAAGAATTGTACCATATGCACCTTTAGTTTGCTATTTTCTTCTTTAATTATGATACTATTTTAGTTATGACTCATGAAATTTTTAATTATACCTCATGTGATGTTTAGTTATGACTTCTTCTTTTTTTTTTATTATATATATTTATGACTCAAAAAATATGAAATTATGTCAATTTTTTCTTTAATTATAAGAAGTATACACACCATTTTCTTTTCCTATAATTACATAGACTTTTCTTTTCCTAAGGCTAAAGTGATTGAAATTAATATAAATATTATGAAATCACAATGATAGATAAGATAAAATATACATTTAAATGTAATGTAAAAAAAATGATGCTATCATTTTTTCATCTATATGACTAACGAATTATTGATAAAATTGAACTAAAGGATTGTTTAGTTTTTGAGTTGGGCTAAAAAATTACGAAAGGACAAAAAAAAGTCAAAAAATCACAAAAAGATACACTAATTCACTTTCTAAACCCACTGAACTAAGGCCCGTTTGTTTTCAGAGATAGAATTTAGGGAATTGATAATGAGGGGACTGATAGCGAGGGGATTAAATAAAATTGTGTTTGTTTTGATGATAGTTATTAGTGTAGGGATTGTTAGATTATTACCTTATAAAAAAATATAAAATATTAAAACAAATAAAATTATGATTTTTACTTAACAAAAAATACAAAAATATCAAACATTAACGTTATTAAAAAAAATGCCCAATATGTAAAAATAAATAAATAAATAATAAAAACAACAACAACAACAACAACTAAGCTAGATGACTAATCTTCTAATACCACATTTTCTTTCTCCATCTCAATCTCAACACGAAGGCTTATCCTAATCCTATCAAATTATGAATCCCTTCTCTATCTTTCAAAACAAATACAACGTATAGTAGGTCCCACCTCCATCTCTCAAAACAAACGGGACCTAAATAAGATAATTTAACTTAGTCATAATTTTAAAATTTATTATATTTTAACTAAACATAATTTTCCCATTTATGTGGTGGTCTAGACTTTTGAAGTGAATGTCACTAATAGCATACATTGAATCCACATTAATTGACGTGTCAAACTGCAAATTTGACATATTTTGAGTATTCAGACTCAAAGAATCCAAACCTGATTGAGAGCCACAACATCGGTCAATTTTAGGAATGGTCAAAAAAATAATTTTTTAATTTTTTTTTTAAAAACATATAAAAAATATAAGAAATAATATTTTAAAAAAAAACTGATTTTTAATTTCTTTTTTTTACTCTTCCCAAAAAAAACCATCATAATAATATATGTTCATAAGCATTACCGACCAAATTTCCTACGCTAAAGTGATATGTTATCGTTTAATATTCTTCATTTGTTATTCACAATAAATATTTATTTATTTTTGCTACAATTTTCATATCGTACCTAATCCAATAAATAAGACATAGGGTCCTTTTCACGACTGTATCATATAAAGTTTCATAAATAATATAATATGGTAAAATTGATTAGGACTCTCAAAATTACTTTCCTTTGATTTATTATTCCTTTAACCTTTTTTCTCTGGGTTTGGATCTTAATTTTTTATTTTTTTTTTAATTTTAGTGTTCACTTTTTCATCTTTTTTTATCTCTCTACAAATTTAAAATCTAAACACAACCAAGATAAAGCCATTACAACAAATGAGAAATTTAGGGAAAACCATTTTTGTGTCCAAAAGTAAAATTTTTGTTGTAAAAAATATTTGAGGACCAATTATTGTAGTCGCAAGAATGGTCACTAAAAGATTATCTCAAAAAAAAAAATAGAAAAGAGATAATTACAACAACAAAAAAAAATATTCCAAAGTTTGAGCTCATAATAAAATAAACCCTGGGTTTTTAGTTTTATCAATTTAAACATTAATATTTTTATTTGTTTTCAATCTAAACCACTCGCTTATTTTTCTCATTAAACTCAATGTAAGTATAAATAAAATGTCTAAAGTAACCTTTTTATGAATTTAATGACTAAAATATCTATCATTCTATTGATTTTACTTAACAAAAATAGGCAAATAGTTTAAATTGAAAACAAACTCAAAGTATAAGGTTTAAATTAACAAAATTGAAAATTCATGAGATAATTAAAAAAATAGAAAAGAGATAATTACAACAACAAAAAAAAATATTCCAAAGTTTGAGCTCATAATAAAATAAACCCTGGGTTTTTAGTTTTATCAATTTAAACATTAATATTTTTATTTGTTTTCAATCTAAACCACTCGCTTATTTTTCTCATTAAACTCAATGTAGGTATAAATAAAATGTCTAAAGTAACCTTTTTATGAATTTAATGACTAAAATATCTATCATTCTATTGATTTTACTTAACAAAAATAGGCAAATAGTTTAAATTGAAAACAAACTCAAAGTATAAGGTTTAAATTAACAAAATTGAAAATTCATGATTTATTTTGTTACACAGCTCAAACTCTGGACTATTTTGTAATTTGTCCAAAAAATAACTTTTAGTGACAATTTTAAAAATGTCGCCAATAAATACAAAATAATTTTGTCCAAAAAGGTTTATTTTTTTGAGACAAAAAAATTGTATCCAAAAGAATAGTTATTCATCACTAAATGCCTGATTTCATTACTAAAAAAATAATAATAACACTTTTACAATAAAAATATTTTATTCCTATAAAGTGATTTTATCTTTAAATTTTTATCCTAGCACAAGAATATGCAAGAAGAAAGATGTAATTTATAGCACTCTTTTGGGTAGAAAGAAAACACGTCCTTCTCTCTTTTCTTTTTTCCTGTTTTTTTCCCCTTTGTGTACTCTGTCCTTGATACAGATGGTCATAAATTTTTTACAAAAAGTACCCACATAATAAAATTACAATCATGGTTGGTAGTCTATTTCATTATCTGAATGTCTCAAAATAATATCGTTTTGAGATAAAACGACGACGTTGTAATACATTCGAATTATTCGGGACACACAAATTCGAGATACAAAACATTTTTGATAAAATTTCAACGCATCAAAATAAATTTTTGTTTTCAATACTGAACTGAAAATTTTATATATATTTAATTATATTATAATTTTGGTGGGTGCTTGAACTCGACATCCTTTTTTTTTTCTTGTCATTCTTTTACTATCACAAATATAAATTATATTTAATATCCTTCACAAATTAGTCACACTAAAAAAAAAATTTATTATATATATATAATCATATAAAATTATAATATAATTAAATCGACGAATAAAATATAATATTTATGTACTAATTATCCGTTATCCCATTTCTTAAATGTGCGTGTGTCCTATGCTCCAATGATGATTTTTTTTTTTTTTTTTTAAACCATTGCTCTGATACCATTTGTCACAACCCGCTCCCCGTACCCAAGGGTTAGGCATCGTGATGGCCAGTAACCGAGGTTACCTCCGGCCAAATCTCAAAACACATTTTCATATAAGGTCATAGCCAAATATTCTTTAAGATATAAACAAACACATCCATGGGTTTCCTTTTAAGCAAATAGGGTTCAAAAATAAAACCACGTAACTGAAACCTTTATAAAACATAACTTTTTATTAAAAACATAACTTGTGTAAAATATATTTTGGTAAGTCAAAACATACGTAAAATACATTTTGGAGACTCAAGGTATAATATAACTCACCTTTAACTTTAATACCTCACTCTTCCTTTACACCATCAAAGACCCTTTCACCTCCCACTATTCTTTCCTCTCTTTTCTTTCTTTCCTTTCTCTCCTTTCCTTCTCTCTTTCTTCTTTCTTTCTTTTCCTTTTCTTTTTCTTTTCTTCCTGCCGTTTCCTCTCCAGGCGCCTCCGTATTTATAGGGGAAAAAGGCGATTAGTGAGACCAAAATTGAACCTACCACGTTTTAAGGAAATATCAACAATATTGTTACCCATATATATGCCCACTTATTTTACTAGCAATGTTTGAGTCTGTTTTAATTCAAGTTTCGTGATATTTGTATTATATGTATATGTAGCTTACTTTGTTGATGGGTCTGATATTGGAAAATTCACAATGAAAGTTGTGGACGACATTCGTACCCTAAACAAGTCGGTTCATTTCCGACCATCTTGCAATTTTCTGAACATGAATGAGCTTTCCTCTTTGTGGGAGAAGAAGATTGGATATATGCTCCCCAGGCTCACTGTCACTGAAGATGACCTCCTTGCTGCAGCTGCAGGTTCCATTTCTTACTATTAATTACAACAAAAATATAACCGCATGTTTCTAATTACAATGGAATAGGATTCTCTCCCGTTGAACTGGGTATCCAATTCAATTTTTGTGATACGATGAGTTGAGTCCTACATTGGGGTCCATTGTGAGATTTATGGGCTCACTCACAAAAACCACACTACATGTCTTGTTTAATTTGAGAGAAGTCAGACCTATAATTAACTTTTACGAAAACTATAGAATAATATTAAGAATTGTGAAAAAAATATTATAAAATGTATCATGAAAATTTCTCATTCTTTAATTAAAGTGTAGTATTTTACTATATGTGTAATCTAAATGTGAAGGATCTTTCATAATCATCTTTATTATATATTTTTTCATAATCCCTAACATTACCCACATTTGCAAAATTTGTTGTCAAGTCTCTCTAAACCCCCCATTTCCGAATCAGGATCCTCTCTTTGATCTCTCTCCTTAATTTCTTGTTTACTGAGTCATTGGGCCTACTTTTGGGCTCAATTTTGATAATCAGAACCGTTCACATTTTAAGATTTGTTGAGTATATCATATCTGTAAAAAATCAAGTTGATCGGATATCCAAAAGCATGTGTTCAGAAAACTATTTATTAATTTTTTTTAAAAAAATGGTTTGTAGTTCGATATCCGAATACATAGTTTCTGATATCTGATCAACTTAATTTTTTACAAGTATGATATACTCAACAAATTTTAAAATGTGAACAGTTCGGATTATTAAAATGAGGCTCAAAAGTAGATCCAATAGCCTAATAAGTAAGAAGTTAAAGAAAGAAATCGAGGAGAGGATCGTGATTCCTCATTTCCAACTTCCTCGCAATAGAGACTTCTACCATCACGCCAAAATAATATTGCTACACGTTGGCCACCCCGCCTATCCTTTTTTATACAAGATAAAAATAATTCATGCAAATTAATAAATAAATAACATTTCAAGCAACGAAAACCAATTTTTTACAAATTCTATTTTTTCTTTGGTGTGATATATAATTGTGAATTTATTTTGCCTCATTGTTATTATCTTTTCATAATTATATTGCAGAGAATATCATACCACAAAGTATCGTTGCATCATTCACACACGACATTTTCATCAAGGGTTGTCAAGTTAATTTTTCAATTGATGGTCCAAATGAAGTTGAAGTGAGCAATCTCTATCCAGATGAAACTTTTCGAACTATGGATGAATGTTTTGACGATTTTGTTATGAAGATGGATCGATGGAATTAAAGCCCAAAAACATGTGGTTGAATGTGCTTGATGTCCATCACACCAATGTGTGGTTGAATGTGGATGACAATATCCAACTATTTATTATTATTATTATTTAGAGATATGAATCTATTTAATTTGACTAACGAAATATTATTTGATAAAGTCGCATGGAGAAGAAAGATTTATATAGCCGACCTCATTTAATGAGACTTAAGGCTTGGTTTGATTTGATTTATTATTATATGGAAACAATTTATCAACAAAATTGGAGTCCATGTGTTGCATATAATTGATTTTGGATTATGTATGATTTTTATTTCGAGCTTGTCTAAAAATGTTTTTAGTCAGTTGGAGATTAGGCCTTTGAATCATGAAAATGCATTTACTTTAAAAGAGTAAAGGTTTTTGGTTTAAATATAGTCAATTATTTGCTCAAAAGTGCATTGTTTTCTTTATAATTGTAAAATATTGATGTATTGATTGATTGATATTGTTACAAGATTGATGTATTTGATTTGTATGTTACAAGTTATTATATAGGAGAGGTGTGAGGTAAGTGAGTGGTGGTAGTGGATGGTAGTGGAGGTGGTGAGTGGTAGTGGAGATGGTAAGTGTGTTAGGTTTAGTGGGGTGGATGTAGTGGGTTAGGTTAGTGTACATTAACAATAATGTTCAGGGGCATTACTATTTTGGTAAATATGATTTGCATCTTTGTGCTAGCATTATTGACCTCGCTCAAATATGTGGCCTACTAGAAAAAGCTGTGCCCTAAAAATATATAGTTTCAATTTAGCGTTGGGTGGGTTATCCCTAAATGAATGTGTTCCACAAATTTCATTTATTGAGTAGTTATTTGAATATTTTTTGATCGGGTAAATTATAAATATATCTTTTGAAATTTATTTATAAATTGTTTTTTGTGATTTAAAAAATTATAAATATTTCTTTGTCAAAATTTTTTATTTAACAGAATTAATTTAAAAATAAAATTCTTAACTATTCTATTATATAATAATAAAATTAACTGAATTATTAATTTAAATAAATCTCTAACATCATTAAAATTTGTTAAATGATTTGACAATTTATTAATAAAAGTGACTATTTGTTATAAAATTAAAAACTTCAAGTGGTGGGTGGGAGGATGTAATTTTCAGAATCATAAAAGATAATTTTTATTTTAAACAAATTTCAACCAGTGTATTTATAATTATTTTTTATATATATATAATATTGATGGTAGCGTATTTGCTATATTGATTTCAAACCTTTCTATCTAAGGGGGGAAAAAATTCAGTATTACCGAAGCAGCACTATGACATGTGTGTGGTAATGAGGCCACCCAAATGGAGATAAACGGAATTGATTTTGTCTCCAATCCACCAAATTGTTTGAACTTGGCATATATTAAAATGGCATTCTTAATTAATAAAAATAATAATCATAAAATGAGTAGAATTGATTTGACTCTATGTTTGGTTATCATTTTTCAAAAATAATTTTCAAAAAATTTTACTTTCTTATTTTTCATATTTTTTTGTTTTTACTAAATTTTTTTTAATATTTTGAGCAATTTTTTTAATTTTTAGACATACCTAACATAAATATACCTAAAAAGTATAAAAAAAAAAATTAAAAAAAACCTTTTAAAAATTTACTAAATACCAAAAATACAAAAAAAAAATACAAGAATTCAGTACATTTTTTATATTTTTATGTATTTATTAATTTTTAAAAATATTTTTTCACAAATTTTTTACTTTTTAGAAACATTCAAGTAAGGTGCATCTAAAAACGTAAAAAAAATGTTTGAAATTTTAAAAATATTCACTAAAAACAAAAAAAACAAGAAAATCAAAAATCTCAATTTTCAAAAAACTTAATTCAAAGAACTCAAACCAAACACACTTAGAATAAGTTGTTATATTTACAGGAACAAAATATTAGTCCGTTATTTTATTTTTTATTGTCCCAATATGTTAGTCCCTTTTCAAATATTAAGGACAAAAATAATATGAATTTTCTATTTTACCCTTCTTTTAAATTCATTAACAACATAAAGAGTATAATTATGACAATTGATATTTTTTAAAAAATATATTATTAAAGGATAATTTTGAAAAATTAATTTTTTTAAAATACAATATTTATACTATCAAAAAAATTAAATTTTTCAAAAAGAACTACTATTTTGAAACAGAAGGAGTACATAATTTTTCATCTCATTTTCCCTCAGTTTTGCCCATATTGTTATTACTGTTTTTGTTTGATTATTAATCTAAATCTAAAATTCAAGTCGGCCTGAGGTGATTGGTATAGGTAGTCTATATGTTTTGCCACGTGTATAGCATTTCCACTATCAACTGCCCATTTATGTTTGTCCCCTTTGGTTTTTGTTGGATCGTTTGAAAAATCAACTTTTCTTCTTTTATCTTTTTTTTATCTTTTTTCCTTCAGCCCTTTTTCTTTGGTGGGTCATTATTAGCTTTTAATTCAACCATCTTGATGTTGTTTGCCAAATTGATTCAGTCCTTATCACTTTCTTAGGATAATTTTATTTTTACATTTCATTTATTTTTTTTGTGCACATCTTTTTTTAATGTATATATTTATCTTTTTTTATTATTCATTTCATACATTAAAGGGGATTTTTTTTTAGGATCTCTGGTATAAAAATTTTATAACATAAAGGACATTCAATATTTTTATAATATCTAAGGTTTCTCAAATCGATCTAAAAAAAATTCGATCCAACAAAGAAATTCCCAAAACTTCTCTAGATTTTTCAGAGAAATTCTCTCCAAACCAGAGAAATTCTTTCCAAAACAGAGAAATTTGTCTCATTACGTGCAGAGAATTACTCTGGGTTCAAACTAGAGAAAATTGAAATTTCTCTGGCTTTGTTCACAAATTTCTCTGATTTTGTTTACAGAGAATTTCTCTGGCTTTCTTCACAAATTACTCTGTGAAGAATTGTGAAGAAAGCCTCTGCCTTAGCTTATTCAACATTCTACTCCAAAATTTATACCTATCAAAACAATTTAACAATTCATACAATAATCAACTAATCATAAAATTCAAAGACCATCCAAAGTTTCCATAAATCGTATTTGGAATAGAATAAAGTTTGGTAACTTAAAATTTTCGAGGCTCAACTAGCCCGAATTTCAAAACGACATCGTTTTGAATTTTTTTTTCCTCTCTTATCTCTCTAAAACAGGGAGAAGAAGGAAGAAAGAAGAGAGAAAATGGATGAAGAGAGAAGAAAGAGAGAAGATGGAGGAAAAGAGACAATGGGCTCGAGGGAGGAAGAGCCGTGTATACACACAGATCTATGTATGTATGTATACACAGATCTGTGTATACACACAGAGTAACAGTGATGGCGATGGACGAAGGCTTATTTCTCTTGTCCTTCTTCCTCTCTTCTTCTTTCTTTCTCTACTCCTCTGTTGTTGTGGGTTTGTTTTTTTTTATTTTGATTTGTGTAGATTTGGATTTTGATTTTTTTTATTTTGATTTTTTTGATTTTTTTGGATTTTGATTTTTTTTTATTTTGATTTTGATTTGTTTATACACACAGATTTTTTTGATTTTTTTTTTGATGATTTTGATTTGTGTAGATTTGGATTTTGATTTTTTGATTTTGATTTTGATTTTGATCAGTGTATACACACAGATTTTTTTTATTTTGATTTATTTAGATTTTCATTTTCATTTTTTCAAAGAACAGAGCAAAGCAAAAGGGGAAGAAAGAAGAGAGGGGGAGGAAGAAGAAAAGAAGAAGAAGAAAAAAAAAATTCGTTTTGGCACCTCGAGCTATTCAAGTCCCAGTAAATTCGAGCTACCTACTAAGACTGTTTGGAATATTCAGTGCAATTTTTCTCTAAACTTTGGGGTCAATTGGTAAAAGAAAAGTTCAAATCAAATAGATTGCTTTTAACGGTTGTCTTTTTATTGCAGAGGGACTACAACGATTGTGCAAATCAACAAAAAAGCCTTTGCCTATTGATTTTTTTCTACAAAATTGGTTTCAAGTGTTGGTTTAGACTTGTTCTTTTTAAGGAACACTGACTATCATTGTCGATAAAAGCGAGCATATTGGCTATACATTTCTGAGGATCGTATAGCTTTATTGGAGTTTTGGAGAGTACAGAGAGAGCACACAATAATTCAAATAATGTTCTGTTTTTTACAGACTTTGTATGCTTTTTCTGGGTTGTGGGGTTGTGAAATCATGAGATTATTGCTGGGTTTGGAAGAGAGAGAGATATAAGGTTTGAGAAATTTTAGATATCATAAAATAATATCATAGACCTCTTTTATTATTATTAAAAATGAGAGAGGGATCTTATACTAATTTTTTCTATATTAAATGTTTCAACTATATCCCTAAGGCATAATAATATAATACATTATGTACACACACCACACAAAACATAAATACACACATAAAAAAGAGAGTATTTGCGACGGTATTTTCTGCCGTCGCAAGTACTCTTCTTTTTTGAGACGGTATTTTTCTACCGTCGCAAATACTCTGTTTTTTGAGACGGTATTTTTTACCGTCGCAAATACTCTGATTTTTTGAGACGGTATTTTTTACCGTCGCAAAAAGTCACTTTTGTGGTTTTTTTTTTAAGTGAATATTTTTAAATTTTTAAATATTTTTTTTAGATGCACTTTACTTAAATGTATCTACAAAAAAAATTATGAAAAAATATTTTTAAAAATTAATAAATACATACAAATATAAAAAAAATGTATTGAAATTATTGTATTTCTTTTGTATTTTTGGTATTTAGTGAATTTTTAAAAGATTTTTTTACTTTTTAGGTGTATTTATGTTAGGTGTGTCTAAAAATTAAAAAAAATAAATATAAAATATTATTTGACTATATCAGTTATAATTGTCTTTGGAGAAAAAAAAAATTAGTTGAAATTTATCAAATTTTACAATTCAATAAAGGGGATTTTTTTTTAGGATCTCTGGTATAAAAATTTTATAACATAAAGGACATTCAATATTTTTATAATATCTAAGGTTTCTCAAATCGATCTAGAAAAAATTCGATCCAACAAAGAAATTCCCAAAACTTCTCTAGATTTTTCAGAGAAATTCTCTTCAAACCAGAGAAATTCTTTCCAAAAATTTGTCTCATTATGTGCAGAGAATTACCCTGGGTTCAAACTAGAGAAAATTGAAATTTCTCTGGCTTTATTCACAAATTTCTCTGATTTTGTTCACAGAGAATTTCTCTGGCTTTCTTCAC